GTTTTTGTTGACATTAATTGTACAAATTATCAATATATACTGATGTTACCATGAATCATGTACTGTGGGTTGATTATCCCTTTCTGAGGGAAATGTGATTGGCCTAATGTTTATTTTGTGTAAATCACATAAGTCATTATGGCTCTTTCTGAGAAAAGCAAATAGAAATTTGATGTCAGTCAAGTGTGTGTGAAAATTATTTTTGTTTAAAACGTGTATGGCTAATTATCTAACATGGTTACTAGGGGTTAGAAAGGAGCCTATTAACTGACACTTTTTTCATATGGTAAAGTTATGATAACTTCTTATCACTTGTGCCTGTGGAGATATGAGAGGCAGAGAAAGGCACATCACCTGGAAGCTCACAGGTCAGCTAGCCTGAAGGGAGAAAAAGAAAGCCCACTCCCAAAAGTTGTCCTCTGACTGGCACATGGGCTGTGGCACACACTACACAAACATACACGCACACATGTGTGTGTGCACATGCATGCTATAACAGCAAAAATTTTTAACACAAAAATAGAGCAAGACTACCATGTTATTTACTATACCACTCATGGTTATATCCCTGGAGGATCTTTAGTCAGCCTACAACAAAGATGTTTGCACATCCATGACTTTATGGCCTTATTCACAATAGCTGAGCTAATGAGAGCAATCAAGTTACCCACCAACAGGTGAGTGGATAATGAAAATACTACATATATGTGTATACTAGTATATAAAGTGTGTGTGTGTGTGTGTGTGTGTGTGTGTGTGTGTGTTAGTAATGTATTATTCAACCATTTTAAAAAAAGAATGTAATCCTATCATTTGCAGCAAAATGGATGGAGCTGGAGGACATCATTCATATCAGATCAACAAGCTAGACACAAGAAAGAAAAGTTCCACATTTGTCATAAAGTAAAAACAATGTAATGTTGACCTGAAAGTAGGAGACTGACTACCAGATATGGCATGGGTGAGGAGCCTGATAGTCTGGAGAAAATCAAACATTTTGTAACTAAATGTGATACAAATATCCAACACTGTCTTTGTGAGAGAGGATCTCATGTAGCCTTGAGCTCACCATGTAGATGAGAATGACCCTGAACTCCTGATCCTCCTGCCTCAATTCCCCAGATACTGAAATTACAGGTGTGTACCACCATTCCCAGCAACACCATACATTACGATGAACAAGGGGATCAACTCCTAGGAAAACTGTATGTTCTCACTGATGAAAGTGCAATACCTTGAGGTTGACATCACAAAGAACTGTCACCTGAAAGAAAAGGTTAAGACAAGAATATCACTTTGAGCTTCTAGCATCTTCTTAGTTAATATTGAAAATGAGCAGGGCTGGAGAGATGGCTCAGCGGTTAAGAGCACTG